AAAGCCTGAGAACGGGCTCGTCCGGGATTTGAACCCGGGACCTCTCGCACCCTAAGCGAGAATCATACCCCTAGACCAACGAGCCAACACACACATGTCCTTCCTGCTGCTGCCTGGCCGAAAACATTTCCGTTTGCCAGGCTTAAAGCACAAAGGTTTAATTAAATGTACAACTAAACGGTAGCCAGTGCAAAGTTGCCGACACAGAGGAAATACGGTCTCTTTGCTTTGTGAGAACTTGACCTACAAAAAACGCTAGTACATATGGGCGTATGCCAAATCGATTGACCTGATGCCTGATAGGTTACAAGTTACTGGTGCCCTCCTTATGAGAACAAAATCCACATTCGATCAAAGTCGGAAGCTATTGCAGATGCTCGATGGTGTTTTAAAAGGAGTTTTGAGCAGGACCACTCTGGAACACAGGCCTCCACCACCCGGAACAAAACATGAACATTCAATGCACGCGCCACAGCAAACTTGGCAGAAGCAGGTCCCGCCGAGATTTGAACTCGGATCGCTGGATTCAGAGTAGATACGCTAATAGATACGCCCAACGTGGGGCTCGAACCCACGACCCTGAGATTAAGAGTCTCATGCTCTACCGACTGAGCTAGCCTGGCAGCCGCTGTGAGCTGCTTGGGGCTGGTCGCGGTTTTTATCCGTGCCTAAATTGCGCCCGTCATCCGGAGCCTCACATTTCGCACAGGCTTGGCATAGCGTCTCGCGGGTAAAGTCAGGGTTAAGCCTAGAGCCAGGCTCAGAGTGTACTTTGTTTGTTTAAGCCATATATGTTGTTGGGGGATACAATTTCACCCAGTAGAGCAGGCCAGTAATATGCACAATCCCAACCCGGAGCTAAAGTTCCGTTTCGGGTCTGTCAAACCGGAACTTGACCTACAAAAAACGCTAGTACATATGGGCGTATGCCAAATCGATTGACCTGATGCCTGATAGGTTACAAGTTACTGGTGCCCTCCTTATGAGAACAAAATCCACATTCGATCAAAGTCGGAAGCTATTGCAGATGCTCGATGGTGTTTTAAAAGGAGTTTTGAGCAGGACCTCTCTGGAACACAGGCCTCCACCACCCGGAACAAAACATGAACATTCCATGCACGCGCCACAGCAAACTTGAGCTGATGTAAACTCTCACATAACACCCGCTGTCTTCTTTGCACACGAGGCAACTGAGCAATCATACCCCTAGACCAACGAGCCAACACACACACATCCTTCCTGCTGCTGCCTGGCCGCAAACATTTCCGTTTGCAAGGCTTAAAGCACAAAGGTTTAATTAAATGTACAACTAAACGGTAGCCAGTGCAAAGTTGCCGACACAGAGGAAATACGGTCTCTTTGCTTTGTGGGCATTGGAAACCACGCTGCAGCACTTTCACACATGCTGTGGGATGGACACCTTCTCACCACATCGTCGAGGGGAATTAGCTCAAATGGTAGAGCGCTCGCTTAGCATGCGAGAGGTAGCGGGATCGATGCCCGCATTCTCCACGCGGTGTACTGTCCTTTTACGCTCACTTCAAAGGGATGTTCAGTTTCAACGCCACATCAGCAGTTGCGCATCAGCTCTGTTTTTTCCCGCCCTTCCCCAAAACAAGTTAAAAAGTTTCCACCAAGATTTGAACTTGGATCGCTGGATTCAAAGCCCAGAGTGCTAACCATTGCACCATGGAACCACCACATGCTGGTCTCTGGTCGTCTGAGAGGCAGATAGCGATGAGGCTAGGTGGAATCAGAAAAGTTTTTTTCGGACGAGGTCCTGCGCACATTCCTGGCAAAAGCAGGTCCCACCGAGATTTGAACTCGGATCGCTGGATTCAGAGTCCAGAGTGCTAACCATTACACCATGGAACCTTGGCGTGGGTAGCCTTTTCCCACCGAGCAGCAGAGGTGTTTAGTCATTCAGCCCAGAAGCGCGACAGCAAAGATCACGTGAAGCCTTTTCTTTTTAAGCCCATGTTTCCCCGATCTCGACTGGCTTTTAGAGTGCCAGTTTCACCGCCACATCAGCAGTTGCGCATCAGCTCTGTTTTTTCCCGCCCTTCCGCAAAACAAGCTAAAAAGGTTCCACCGAGATTTGAACTCGGATCGCTGGACTCAAAGCCCAGAGTGCTAACCATTACACCATGGAACCACCACACGCTGGTCTCTGGCCGTCTGAGAGGCAGATAGCGATGAGGCTAGGTGGAATCAGGTTAACAGGAGATGACGTTTGCTCACTGGAGACCCTCGACCAAAAACACAGGAACCAGGTTGCTCTGCCGAAACCCGGGATCGAACCAGGGACCTTTAGATCTTCAGTCTAACGCTCTCCCAACTGAGCTATTTCGGCCAGGTCTACTGGCAAATGGTTTGTCCAGCAGGGATTTCTGGGAGACCGCCCGTCACTTTCGAGGTGAGCAGAGCTGAGGGTCCCAGAGAGCAAAAGTGTGGCCAGTACGGGGATCGAACCCACGACCTTGGCGTTATTAGCACCACGCTCTAACCAACTGAGCTAACCGGCCCCGCTCTGACTCCTTTTATCCCCAATTTCCCAGGAATATCCTAGTTGCCCTAGTCAGCTTGAAGAGATTAAAAGCAAAGCCTGAGAACGGGCTCGTCCGGGATTTGAACCCGGGACCTCTCGCAACCTAAACGAGAATCATACCCCTAGACCAACGAGCCAACACACACATGTCCTTCCTGCTGCTGCCTGGCCGAAAACATTTCCGTTTCCCAGGCTTAAAGCACAAAGGTTTAATTAAATGTACAACTAAACGGTAGCCAGTGCAAAGTTGCCGACACAGAGGAAATACGGTCTCTTTGCTTTGTGAGAACTTGACCTACAAAAAACGCTAGTACATATGGGCGTATGCCAAATCGATTGACCTGATGCCTGATAGGTTACAAGTTACTGGTGCCCTCCTTATGAGAACAAAATCCACATTCGATCAAAGTCGGAAGCTATTGCAGATGCTCGATGGTGTTTTAAAAGGAGTTTTGAGCAGGACCTCTCTGGAACACAGGCCTCCACCACCCGGAACAAAACATGAACATTCCATGCACGCGCCACAGCAAACTTGAGCTGATGTAAACTCTCACATAACACCCGCTGTCTTCTTTGCACACGAGGCAACTGAGCAATCATACCCCTAGACCAACGAGCCAACACACACACATCCTTCCTGCTGCTGCCTGGCCGCAAACATTTCCGTTTGCAAGGCTTAAAGCACAAAGGTTTAATTAAATGTACAACTAAACGGTAGCCAGTGCAAAGTTGCCGACACAGAGGAAATACGGTCTCTTTGCTTTGTGGGCATTGGAAACCACGCTGCAGCACTTTCACACATGCTGTGGGATGGACACCTTCTCACCACATCGTCGAGGGGAATTAGCTCAAATGGTAGAGCGCTCGCGCAAAAGCAGGGGTCCAATCTTTGCGCCCCGCACGCAAGCGAAAAGGACGCAGAAAACGCGAAAAAACGCACAAATTTGCCCTGCAACAATATTCGGGCTATATTCCTGTACGTTATGGAAGAGTTTTAGTTACATGTGAAACAAGTCACACTCCGCGGGCTGGGCTCGAACCCCTGTTCTGCACGACTAGTGTGTGATCAACTGCGCATGCGCCTTCATTTGGTTATCAATGTGACATATCATTATATTGATTGATATTAATTGTGTATATTATTTAAAAAAAAAAACATATTACATGTTTATGGTTTAATAAAACTAATACAAATGTTTATTCAAATATGTGTTTTTTTTGTGTGTGGGATTGATTGATGTGATTTATCTGATTTATTTTAGGACACTTCAAATGTTTTATACACACAAATGCACACAAATATCGAAATGTAATTTTTTTTATTAAAATGAATACACACAAATATTGAAATAAGTACACACACACGCATAAATATATGGACATACACACAATATATGTGTTATTTACAATGTATACTCTATGAAAGAGTGGGTGGGCCCATGTACAGTTTGCACATTCCAGTCCCAAGGCAATTAAAAGCAGCACAATGAATAATAGTGTGAACAGTATTTATTTACTAAAACTACAAGACATTAATGAACAAAAATAAACAACTAACAATGTAGAAATAGAATAGAACATTCTGTAATATAAATAAAACAAACAAGACATTACAGAAAGATTGAGAGAGAAAAAAGAACATAACTGTAATTACACATAGATATTTATTTACAGGTATTTACAAACAATCTTTTTTCTGTGTTGAAAGATTTTTTATTATGGAGGTGGCTGTCCAGGTTTTTTCTGCTGGCGCTGTTCTACCAGCCACTCCTCTAAAGATTTGCCACCAGAGACACTGGGGCAAAACGTGGCACTGCCGAAGCGGCTGTGGCCGAACTCCTTGGTTTTGGGCTTGCCACACTTAGAGCATTTGTTATATGCCACTTCACGGACATATTTCCTTTTGTGGGCTCCACTGGCCTCCTCTTCTGCCCTGCGTCGTCTGTTCCTCTGAGTGAAGCGGGACACAGACACCGGGGCAGTGGGAGCAGGAGCCTCTCGCACGTCAGGAAACACTGGAGTTGGAGCCAGGAGAGGAGCAGCTGAAGCGCCACCTGCACCAGCTGCCAGCAGCGTGGGCGCAGTGTTCAATAAAATGAACTGGGGTAGTGGCACAGGAACTGGGGGAGGAGTAGGAGCTGCTGGGGTAATTGGCCTCACAATTGCAGCACTGGCAGGTCGTCTGCCCGGCCGTAGCTTAGGAGCCTGTCCCGCTCTGTTAGGAGGAAGGACAAACTCGTGCCGGGCCCCTGATGTGGAGGGAGCCTCATCCAGCTTTTCCCGCGGAGCAGGAAGCTGTGAGCTGGCCACAGCGATGCGGTCTTCTGCAGCAAGGCCCTGGGTAAGGACAGTCACTTCCTGGGTGTTCTCCCTTCGATTAAACCTGCAATCAAAAAATGTATTCATAATAAATAACTGCTATCCCTTTCTTTCAAATGTCAATGTAAAACCATGCTTACCACTGAGTGAGAGTCCTCTGATTCAGCATAAACAGCTGAAGTGACGTGGCCTCCATCAGAGTTTGGCAGTTCAGCACCAGGTCTCGGATGTGGTGGTAATCCGTGAGCACCTTAGTCCAACGAGGAAGACGGACTCCATCCTTCTTAGTTGGGGACTTGTGAAGTGCACACAGTTTGATACACATGGCCTCAACTAAGCGACTGGTGCTGGGCCACTGAGCTGGCCCCCCAGGATGACCAATCAGGCACCTCTTCACACTGTCCACACCCGGTGTCACTCCTGTGTTTTTTGGAGCCTTGAAGCGTCCGTGGGTCAGTTTGGGCTGGTGTCTGGGCTGATAGTGGATCTTCCTCTTGTCCCCATCAGGAAGAGTAGTCCACAGACGGATGACCTCTGTGACCTGCTGCTCGTCCAGGTAGAGTGCCTGACGGAGGGACACCAGGTACTCAGCCAGATCCTGCACCTTATCCCAGCCTGCAACGCCATCGGGTCCAAGAACAGGAGCCTGCAGGAAAGTATTACAATAACAATACACAGCATGTTAAATGTCAGAGTGTAAAAGCAAATAGAAACTAATAATGAGAAGCTTACTTACAGGAGCCTGGTCTGCAACACTGGACCCAGTTGATGTTGCAGGAGCAGAGGCAGCACTTGGCTGGACAGAAGGCTGTGGAGGAGACTGCAGAGGAGGCTGAGCAGGGCGCAGAGGAGGAGACTGCAGAGGAGGCTGAGCAGGGCGCAGAGGAGGAGACTGCAGAGGAGGCTGAGCAGGGTGCAGAGGAGGAGACTGCAGAGGAGGCTGGGCAGGGCGCTGCAGTCCTGTGGGTGGCTGTAGTGAGGATGGTCCTGGTGCAGAGGGACAGGGGTTGAAGGCCTGGGGGCCGCTGCTGTGGACTGGGACAGGCTCAATGGGGTCATAGAGGACTGGCACTGTGAGGTCCTCAGGTTCCTCCTCAACAAAGCCTTCGTCCTGCACCACCTCATCAGTCATCTGCTCCACCAGCCGATCCTCCTCTTCTGGGTTATCCATAACAGTCAGGGATTTCCCAGACTGACTGTACAGATACTCCATACCCAGCAGCTCCCCTGCAAAAGAACACACATACAAAGCACATTCACATTATTATAGCTATAGTGGCTATTTGTCCATAACAAACTGAAACAAAAAAAACAATCAAACTTTTCAAACTTTGATCGTTTGTAGGCTTGACGCAGTTTAACAGATCAAAAAATTAAAATAATAAACAAGAAGATAATAAGCATAAATGCAAAATAAAGCAAATTCACTTTAGCAAAAGAAAACAAAGAAATAAGGCTATTTCTGTCGTACAAACAGTCAAATTAAGCCTAAATTAAACAAAGTACAAATAACTCCAACAATAGTTGAATTATTTAAAATACAATATAAAAAATTTACACTCATACACCTGTATAATGTATAATCTTTTGTTTGAGTTAACATGAATAATTCTCACCTGTGTAAGCCCCTGGAGGCTGGTAGCGATCATCCAGGGACATCTTCAGCACTTTGCGGCTGAGCCGGTCCATTGCCTCCCTCTCAACGCTACTGTAGGTCCTCAGGGCAGTCTTTCCCCTCACTGCTTCATCCATCCGGTCCTGGTTCCAGCGCATCAGGCCTTCCAGGAGATAGGCCTGGAAATGCGCATCACTGGCACTGGTCCCTACAGGTCAAATAAAGTCAAATATATGTTATCTATGTATTCAGTACGGCAGAATAGGTTATAAAAGTTTAAAGTTTTTTGCAGGTTATAAAAGTTATAACCTACCTGGGATGAAGCGATTTAAATGGAGGTGGAAAGACTCCAAGGAGGTGGAGCCACGAGCACAGCGATAGCAGCTGAGCTCCACACCACCCTTCTTCAGTGTGTCTGTCTTCTGGTACAGAGGGAAGCCCTCTGGGTCCTGAATACAGGCGATGTGCCTCTGCTGGTCTATCCAGACCTGTTGGATTCGCTCGTGGTCCAGCAGTGGTACACCCAGAGTGTCCCTCCCCTTCTCACTGTCCATCTCATCAATGAGCGCCTTGATCCTCCAGGTGGTCTCCTCCACTCCTCTGGTCCGCTTGCGACAGTGCAGTGCCAACTCCTTCCTGGTGATCAGCTTATCCAGAGCCTTCTCTGAGACTGGACCAGCTCCTCTGGCCTGTAACTCCCCCTGTTTGGCCAACCGTAGAGCAGCGACATCATCTGGATCCAGCTCAAAGATGCACCTGGAAAGCCGAGCCATGAAGGTGCCGTAAAGCTGATGAGCCTCCGTGATGACACCTGCTGCAAAGCGCCGCATGAAGTGCCAAATATCTAGGCGCACTTGGAGCTCATCCCACTCTATGAACATGGCTCTGACCTGCGACTGTCTGTGTGCGTGTGGGCTGCAGCAGTCTCTGTCCACATACATGACGGCGGGTGGTGCCACTCCCGCCTCCCTGTACCTCTTCATGAGACCCACCGCCATGGGCCACAATCCATGCCCCTCTGCCGCTGTGAGGACTGACACCAACACCTGGCCGTGCTCATTGCCTACATTAGTGCACCAACCAGCAGTGTTGGCAGCAGCGCCGGCCAGTTTTTTGGTGACCTATGTAAAAAAAAAAAACAGTAGAATAAACAAATTTCAGAAAAATTTAAGATAATAACAATTGTTATTACTCAAACTTGACTTTTTATACCTTTTTGGTGGAGTCCATCTTGAGGACAGAGCCAAAGACTGAGGTTATTTTGGCCTTGACCTCAGGTAGCCGCGAGAGGACGTCCCTGGCATACACAGACAACAGCCACTTGGGTTTGGGGATGGGTGGGAGGGGCGGGGGCGCAGAAAAGAGTGGAGGCTCAACGATGGAGGAGTCTGTGAAGGGCTCACAGACAGTGAGGTACTCCAGCGTCCGCTGTGACCACGCTGATGTGTGTTGCTCCTGCAGCTTTTTGTGAAGCTGTGTGACACTGTTGCCCCGGGTCCTCTCCCGCATCATTATGACTACACGGTAGTCACACGAGTACCTACAGACAGTCAAATAATTCTGTTCAGTGCCACATCTTATTATTTCAATGTTAATATCAGTAAATCAACGTATTTGATTTTATACAGTACAACAAATTACAGTGCATTGCTCTAAATATGAATGTGTTCTACCTGTATGTCAGAATGGCGGGGAATTTTCTGCGGTGTCCCATGTCGAGCTGTCCCAGGATGTCTTCAGACCAGGCTGGATACTTCTTCTTGCACCCTTTGCACTCCAGATACTCTGTGGCCATGTCATACCACCCGTCTATGTCCAGCACCTTGCGCACAGTGCGATAAAGGCCAGCAGCTGTCAGCTTGTGGTTATTGCAGGCTGGCTGGACACAGACAAGTGGAATGGACCACATCTTCAGCGGCATCTAGAGGAACAGAGGGCGGCAGAAGAAGATATCAGGAGAAGTAGGGGGCTGGGTGAAGACGGTCGGGGGCTGGGGAGGGTACCACCAGAAGTTGGGATGTGGCGTCAGCTCAGGCTTCCCTGTTTTTATGTTGGCCCTGAACAGAGTCTTCCTGATCCAGTCCTGCTGGAAAGATGGGAGTTGCTCTTTCCAGTGAACAGGAAGCTCTGCAGGCGACTGGGACACCTGGCCAGGGGTCCACAATGCTGGAGGAGCAGGATAAGGGGCAGGAGCAGGGGCAGTAGCACGAGCCGGGGCAGGAGCAGGGCCTCTCGAGCCTGCAGTGGCTGGAGCGTAAAAAAACACAACAAAATTATCTTATTGTTTTAGACTTTCACTGCATGACTTTCTCAGCTCTGCTGGACAGCTACTGCGATTACAAGGTTTACTGCAAAGCATGTATGATTAGTAGAGAGACGACATGATGATGAAAAGATGGAAGGAAGCAGTGAAAATCATCCTGTTTTTCATCCAAGCACCATTAGAAGAAATACAAGAAGAAAAAAAGATGGGATCAGCCAAGTGTGAAGCGAAGCAGACCAAACACTACAACAGCCACTTATTCCAAGGGGAGTGGGGGAAGTGTGAGATGACAAGAATGAGCTTTAGTCAGTGATTACGATAAAAAATGAAATCAAACCTTTTACATACACCTTTAAATTCTCTTTTTTCCTTTGAGGATGTTCACTCAAAGAGTGAATGTAGATTGACACCTGAGAAGTGCCATTCCTCTGTGTTGTGAAATAAAATAATATGATATGTCATTTAAAAAATACTGTTTTGTTTTATTTGTAATTGTTTGTAAAATATTGTTTAAGATTTACATACCTTGAGGAAGTTGTTCCTCAGCTTGCGAGGCTACAGTTGCCATCTCCACGTCATCTTCCTCCTCAAAAAAATCCGTAGCAGCAGAGTCTGTAAAATAACATAAAACACTAAGCACATGTCACCAACACACTTGTATGCGTTAAGTGATACTCACCACATGTAAAGAGCTGTCTCCGGGCTGCGGACTCAGACGCAGGAGGTACACGTGGTCCTGCAGCTGTTTAACACGTATTTTCGTTAGACATATATACTGCATAATATATACTGTAATGATTTTAAAGCTTGCAAATCACTTACAGGTTTTGGCTGGAGACAAAATCTTTTGTGCCAGCTGTGAAGCAGATAAATGCTTCCCCCGCGCCAACAGGGCCTTCACATTGGTCGCCAGCAGTGGCCTGTTCTGAGTGGCAGTAGGTCGAGGAGGAACAGACACAGTGGCAGTGGGCACAGCAGCAGTGAGGGCAGATGCAGCGGGCACAGTGGTGGTGGGCACGTGGGCTGGAGCCTGCCTCTTCAGCACGTATGCTTTGAAAAGGGCCATATTGGTGTTAGGCCTGGCCTTTGCCTTCTTCAGGTAGGTGATGAGAGCCTGGGCCTCCTTGCTTGGGTCCTCATACACCTCCTTCATTGACCTACCCTTAAAATCCCCAAACTCCACCATCAGACATCCAGAGTCTCCTGTCCTCTGGGCCTCCTGCAGCATGGCCTGTTTTTTCTGATACACCTCCACAGCCTCGCCTACCTCCCTGATCTGCGAGGTGTATCTGAGGAACAGGTGTTTGTTGGCCGACAGCGGGTTGTCCCTCTCCTCCTCCCCCAAAATGCTGCTGACCAGATAGCAGGCATACCCCAGTGAGTTCTCCAGCAGCCACAGAAACCTCTGACCCTGGTGTTTCCCAAACTGGATCTTGCAGTGAGCCAGAACCAGGAACTGGTCTGCAGGATTCCCTCCATTCTGCCTCACAAAGGCAGTGGCCTCAGCCAGGACCTCCTCCTTACACCTGGCCCTCCCTGCCAACACGATCTCCCTCCTATTGGCCTCCTCAGTTGGCCCCATTAGGAGTCGACCCTCAAGAGTTCTTCGTAAAACCGGGTATGCATACATAATCTGAAAGGACACAGGCATAAACAGAACGTTACATAGCTGTCATATTCCAACTGAAAGTATTTTACTACAGCATTTGTTTTTTATGTAATTAATTATTATAATATTATAATAATTAATGATTATTATTATTATGAGCATAAGCATTATTGTTTTTTTATACAACTGTGAATCACTTTGAATTGCCTTGTGTACAAATTGTAAATAGTGTGATGAACTTATTAATAAGAAAATAAATAACACTTCTTGGTACAATCTTGCTGGTATCATGCCATGCTTAAATCGTTTTGTTTTGTTTAGCTTTTGTGGCAGAGATTACTAAGAAACACCAAATATAACATAAAGGCATTTATTACAATTCATAATAATATGATCATCAAACAGATCTAAAACTTAAAATGGTATATCAAATCGTTTTGGTATTTCTTTTATAACATAGTTGAGAATCATTTGTTGAAACAAAAAAAAACTTGTCTTTAAATATGTATAACATAGTATTTAAAAAGATAACATAAATATGTATACTGGTGTATAACATAGTATAGTATAACATATATGAATTAAACTTTTTTTTTAAAGGTTTTAGTAAAAATGTTCTTGTGCTCAAAATAATGTAATGAATGACACAAAAAAAAAAACTAAATTAACAACAACAACAACAAAATGGTTTAAGGAGGATATAGCTTAATTAGCGGTCGGCTAATTATCTTGACAGTAGTGA